GGAGGCAAGGACACGTACGACACCGTCGACATGGGGATGACAACGAGGAGGCAGTGGTCGGCGGCAGTAGATATGTCTTCCTGTGTATCTGGATGTTCTCCATGGTTCGGTGCGTTGTTCGTAGTCTTTTTGTTAATTCCTCATATGTACTTTAGTTTCGCAGTTATTTATGTGGGTTTTTTCCGTCTTCCCAGGACTCGTGTGTAGTCCAAGGCGTCAGACGGTGCGTGTGGTAGCGAAGGTTCTTTGTGGTAGGGTTTTTATGTCTTCGCTTTTGTGAGACATATGTATATTAGTGACAGCTGTTCTGTTTTGTTTTTTTTCCTCTCATTGGGATGACGGCTGTACATATGGAGAGTATTTTGTTTCTTATGTGGGTGGATAGGAGTCATAGGAGGAGCAGTTGTTCGACGATACATTTGTACTTCCGGGGATTCGAGTGCTATATCGCATGTTGTACGACTCATGCAGCAATTGTATTGGTTTTTCCCGCTCGTTGTATGATTGTGTTGTATGAGTCCACACTCACTGTGACTCACATGATCGCAAATGTACATTATTGTTTCATATTTCCTATGGATTATAAGTTTTGTTTGTATGTTTGGTAACGCGGTGTGTTTTAGTACATGCATGATCTCATGGTTCCATTGGACATGATGCATCGTTTCGTGATGTGCGAAATGTAAAACTTGCGTTTCTAAACTCTATGTCATATGTTTTTAAACCATCAGTTCATGCCAACCCAATTGCGCTATAAAAAATGTCCCAATGTGTTTTAATTTGCTGACTTTTGTTGACTTCTGTGTAAATACACAGATTTGGGATGCATGAAACCACCCACCAAGGATTTCCTTCCCCAAAACCCTGCGCTGAAACTGTATGGAACATAAAGAACGAAAATTGCCATCACCCCAACCGCCACCAACCACACCGACAAGCCCCTAAAACACTACAAACCTCGCAGACCAAACAACACGAAATGCCTGCACACGAAATCAACACCGTGTGCCCCCCAAGTGCCCCAACAACCCAGAAATATCGAATCCCACACCATTTTTCATGTCGAAGACAGACAAAACCTTTGTCGCACCCCTGTCGTAATGCAACCAAGTTTTTTTGGGGGGAAACTACACGGGAGTCAGAAAAACGAGTAACAATTGCAGTATGGGTCAAGATACACTTTGAAATTGCACCCCTGTCGTAATAGAACCGAGCTTTCCCTCCAAATACGTTGGCAATCATCGCAATCGCAAACTGTATCTTGGCCCATAGCACAATTATAACTCGTTTGTGTGAATTTACTGAAGTTACCCTTTGTTTATTTTTGCCCAGCAAGTACCTTACCACGTATCACACACCCCCACAAAAAGAAATCCAGAAAAGGGGGGCGAGGGGTGGGAGAAAAAAGAGAGGGGGGGGGGGGTAGTTTGGGTATTATTTTATCACCCTGAAAGGGCCCCCAAGTCCATGCACCTTAAAATGACACCCTGCACCCCCCTAAGGCCCCCACAACCCGACAATTTTGAACCCCTCCCCCTAAGGGGTAGGGTGTCGTTTTCGGGTGCAGGCCCTTGGGGGGTGTAGTATTCAGTCGCCGTTTGAGGGTTGAGCCCATAATACCAAGCAAAACAACTCACCGCCCCAACCCCACCCCCCACCCAGATGGATATTTGTTTGTTTGTGGCATCACCCTACCACCTATCACGCACCCCCACTTTTAAAAAACGTAGACAATGGGGGGGGGGGGGGGCTGGGGGGGGCGGCMCCGCACGCCCCCCCTCAATGGGCCCCGCCAACCCACTATTTCGAACCCCACACCTCTTGCCACCCCGACACACGACAAAACCCCCCAAAAAATAACCCCCTCCCCACCCCTCCAACCACCGCCGAAAATTTTTATTTTTTTTGCCTACACGTACCTTGCGGCTTGTCAAACACCCCCGCTTCGAGAAATTTGCGAAATGGGGGGGGGGATTTTTTTTTTCACCCTCAAAGGGGACCGAAATTGACCCCCCCAGAAAATCTTTTTTTTTTTTTTTTTCGGTGCGTGGGCCTAGGGACCCTCATGCGCCGCCGGGAGCCATTTTTGGATTTCCGAACGGATCTCCTTTTCGGCCGCCACGGTGCCACGCAGCCGCGCGGACGCGTCCGCGGGGTTGCGGCCTTGTCCGCGGATAGCCGATGCCGAGGGGGATTCGTAGCCGGTACGCCGTGGCTGCAAATCCAGCCAGTGTGCAAGTTCGGGAGCCGTGGCGTAGTATTTGCAAGGGAGAAACCGCGCGTACTTACTCAAATGGTCAACGACCGTGAGGATACCGTCGTGCCCGAGGCGGTCGCCGGGAAACGGACCGGTGACGTTCATGGCAATGGAGAGGCTGGGTTCCCGTGGGATAGGCATCGAGCGCAACTCGCCATAGGGATTGTGATTCTGGGGCTTGCTGCGTCGGCAAACTTCACAAGAGTCGCAATACCGAGTGACATCTGTAATGAGGTTGGGCCACCGGAATTGTTGCCGAAGTCATGCAATAGTGCGATTGACTCCAAAATGACCGGCGAGTCGCGAGTCGTGGTACTCACCGAGAAGGCGAGTGCGAAGACGACGGTCTCGTGGGACACACAATAAGTCCTTGCCTCAAGAGTGGAGAAGCAAGTACTCGTCGACGATGCGATGGTTGGTCGGCGGGTGATCCGAAGATCGCTGCGAATATATCATGGCAAAATCTGGATCGGACTGGTAGCCCTGAATGAAATGCCGCTGAAGTTTCTCGTCAAATGCGAAGGCATGATGTGTCATAGCGCAAAGATCGGGCCTTCGGGAGAGTGCATCTCATGCGCGATTGGAGAGGTCGGCGAGATGTTTCGGTGTGAAGTCAAATTGGTCAATGAAGTACATCCATCGTCCGATCGTGCTGCTCATTGTATCCTGCGTCTTGTAGTAGGTCAACGGGTTATTGTCAGTGACCCATGTGAACCTACGACGCCCAAGGAGGAAGTGTCGCCGACGTTTGAGAGCCATCACAAACGCGAGTAGCTCCTTCTTCCTTGCATCATCAAGTGAGTTGATTGGAGGCACTTTGTCGCTGAAATACTCCACGGGGTGCCAATCGTCGCCGTCGTGTTGTTCCAAGACTTCCCCAATGCCATAACAGGAAGCGTCAGTTATCACTTTCGTCGGCAAGGTGGGGTCGTCCATGCTAAGGACGGGTGCCATGAGCATGGTCGTCTTGAGTGTTGAGAATGACCGGCACGCGTCATCATCGAATACGAATGACACCTTTGGCGATTGTAATCTCGTCAATGACGCTACAATCCTTGACTACCCGGTGATGAAGCGTTGATAGTAGCCCGCGAATCCCATGAATGAGCAAACGTCTGTGGTATTAGTGAGCTTGGGCCATACGCAGATGGCCTCCATCTCGTCCGCAAGTGGACAGATGCCTTGCGGCATCACATAATGTCCCAAGTACTCTCATCTCTTGCCTCACGAATTCACATAAGTCGCGGTTGGCTTTGTACTTGGCTTGTCGTAGCCGCTCCAAAACGGTGCGCATGTGCTCCACATGCTCGTTCAAACTCTGGCTGTACACCAAGATGTCATCGAGGTAGATGAGTACGAATCTATCCAGCATGTGTCGGAACTCCGTTGTCATAGCCGCTTGGAATGTGGCCGGGGCATTCGTAAGGTCAAAAGACATAACCAACCATTCGAAATGCCCATATCTCGTCTTAAACGCAGTCTTGTAGCGGTCCTCCTGCCGGATCTCGAGTTGGTGATATCCCGATTTGAGGTCAAGCTTGGAGAAGAACTTGGCAGCGTTGGCGCCACCCAGCCGTTCGAGGAGGTCGTCGATGCGCGGAAGAGGGCCGGCGTTCTTGACGGTTTGCGCGTTGAGCTTGCAACAATCGATGCACAACCGCAAGTCCTTGTTCTTCTTCCGGACTAAGAGAACGGGAGCGCCGTATGGCGAAGAGCTAGACCGAATCCAGCCTTTCTCAAAAAGGTTGTCGGGTTGTGCCCGTAGCACACTTAACTCTTCCTCGCTTATGCGGTAAATGCAACCATGTGAAAGTAAGGCCCCGGCCTCGAGAATGATCTCGTGGGTCGATCCGGTACTACTCCGTGCGGGGCTTCGAACACGTCGTCGTAGGCATTGAGAAGCTCGGTGATGCGTGGATCCGTCGATGCGTCTGTCGATGAGATGTCATGGGGCGGGAGGGCGTGGAGAAAACACACACCCATCTCCTCGATGTCATCTCGGGTGATGGAAGCTCGAATGCTCATTGCGGACACCACGTGATAGTTGATCGAAGGCGAGGTGGAGGCATCGTGCATGGGACTAGTACTCTGTTCTGATCATGAACGTGAACGGTGCGGTAGTAGAGGTTCACCGGGTGGTCCCCGCTTCGTAGCCATGACATGTTGAAAATCA